AAAAAAAAAAAAAAAGAAAAGAAAAAAAAGTGACTGTAGCTGTGTCCGTGGTGCTGAGGGAGATAGAATTCATTTAGGGATAGGGGAAAGCTTGTTAATTCATCTGCCTTCCGGCTTATGGGGCTTAGTGAAGAAAATGGAGGAGTAGTTCAGGTAATAAAGAGGTGGGAATATCTGTGTGTCCCCCTTACCCTGCCATGGGGGGAGCGGGGTGTCTGGGAGGCTTGGAATTGTCAGGAAGGAGAAAGGTGAGAGAGACCTGGCTGGAGTGACCCCCAGGAGATGGTGGCAGCCCAGAGTCTAAAGAGAAAGGTAGGGCTGACAGGTTACAAGGACAAGGATGAAAATTCCTGAAGTCCACAGTGTTTCCGGTTCTGGGCACTGGGTAAGCATTTGTTGTCCATCCACACGCATAGCTAGGTCCTCACAGCAGCCCTGGGTTGGCCTGTGGGGGAAAGGGACAGGGGCCCTGTGCTTCTTCAGGTGATTAGAAGTCAGAGCAGAAGGAGACGTGGGCATGAGACGCTTCATGCTACCACTTCCCTGCGTGCTTCTTTGGGAACCCGCAGAAATGGTAGGAGAGCCTGGACGCCCACCCCAGGCCAGTGTGGAAGCTCCATCTCTTTGCTCTCTTGGGTATAGCCGGCCAGCCTATCCAAGCAACCAGTGGGTTCCCAGGGGCCCTGGGCATGAACAGAGAACAGAGGCCCTCAGTTCTCTGTTCTGGTGGGGGCAGCGTAAAGAACATCTGTGTGTCCCCAGCTCTCCCTCAGCCCTTGTTACTGAGTTAGAAGGCTGGGGCCTGGGGGCTTCATTCCACGTGAGGATCTCAAAGTGGGGTCACAGGGATGGGAGCCAACCTAAGTAGAGGTGGTGGGCCCAGCGGTCTCTGCATGCCATGATAGCCGGCAGTGGATGGTTTGCTCTGAGGCTGCTGAGGACACCACACCCTCAAGTTCTGCCCAGGCCTGATGTCTAACAGGAGCAGGGGCTGAGCAGCCTGCAGTGGGGCTGCCACACCTCTAGCTGTGCCTCACGTCTACAGACGTGGGGGGGGGGTGATCTCCAACCCAGAAAGGGCTAATGTTTATCGTCTCTGCAGGTGGAGTGGTGAACACTCAAAGATTGTGGGCTGCAAGACAGCAGGTGTTGGGGGGACGCTTGGAGCTGCGGGGTGTTCACAGTTCTAGGGAGATGTGCCCATGGAAGATGTCCACCCCTGTTCCTGGTCCAGGCCTGGCTCCAAGCTGCCTCTGTGATGTCCCATCTGGTTAAGGCAATGCCTTCCAGTCACCACCAGGAACCCCCAGCTGCCTCCTTCCCCGGGCTACCACTATGCAGGCCCTGCATTCTGGAATGTGTCTGAAGCTCTGAATGTCTGGGGGGAAAATGGCACATAGACCGGAGCTGCGCATGAGAAGCACAATCGATTTATTGGTCACACAGACTACACCTGTGGGAATGTGGGGCTCGTATCCCTTCTCCTGTGTTCATCACACCTCTGGATTGGGTTTCCTATGTTAATTCTGTCACGTCAAAATGCAACACAAGGAAAGACGTCACTGATCTATTCTAGTAACCAAGGAAGCAGCTGAAAGCCACAGAGCTGGGATGAAAAAGGCACGCGTGTGCTATGCTGAGAGTCTAAACTGCAAGGCCTGCCCTCCGAGGTGGCCAGGCAGGGGGCTCAGTCAAGGAGGGGACTTGGGAGCCACAGCTGAGACTCTTCCACTAGCACAATGGGATAAGTGTTGAGGGGCTCAGCTCAGCTGGCTGGCTGCCCACTTTGAGGACATGAGGAACCTGGCACAGGCCTCGGCTTCTCTAGCCCAGGCTGAAGCCAGATGTCTCCGCTAGACAGCAGGCCCCTTCCGACTGAGGAACCAAGAAGCCGGGTAGATCCCTGCCCTCTGCTCGGCTAAGCCAAAGCCATCCCCAACCCCCATCCTCTAGGGTTTAAAGCAGCGGGCATCACTGAAGCTAGAGAGGCAGGCTCTTTGTACCCTAAATTAGCCCCTCAGCTGCTTCAGCTCCTTAAGGCCAAGGCTCCAGGAGGGCACTGGCCTTCTTAATGCTTTGTCCAACCCCCACAGGACACAGGCCACTTTGAACTGGTGGGTTTGGGTGTGTGGTTTTAGTTGTCTGGAGACCCCGCTCTCGAGGCTGTCTTCACATAATGTTCATAAAGCACTTAGGACGGCACCAGGCACAGTGAGTGCTCGCTTCACGTGCCCATTATTATTATTATTATTACTATTATTTATGTCTCCACCTTCAAAGCGGTGCTTCAGTTCATTTCTTCAAAATGCTGACCTGAACAAGGCAGTGGAGTCCCAAGTACCAAGGTCAAACTAGGGACCAGGTTGGTTGTTGCCTGTCGGGTACACGTAATTCCTTCTGACCTCTGCACTGCGCGCCAAGTTTTGCAGACAGTCCACATCTGGGCGACAGGGAAGCCAGGCCCTTTTCTGAAAAACATGAAACCTTTCATGGGAAGCTAGTGGGAGGACTCCACAGGAGGGCCCGAGAGAAGGTCCAAGGGGCTTCGTGCTGTTCCTCTGGGCTCCGGATTTGCCAGCAGCTCTCCAAGGGCTTCACTGTGGGAAAGAACAAGGCCTGTCAGGGCTCATTTCCCTCAGCTGCATTTAACTAAGTGGCCCGTGTCCCTGCATGCTATGGGCTAGGCCTTCCTTTAACATGTAGCTGAAAAGAGTCGGCACATACTATTCTAAGCACTTTATATATATTCTAATGTATAAGCATCTATATATAAGTAATATATATGTATACTCATAGAATACATATGAAATTGTGAGTAATGTTAATTACATTAATATTGTGTGTATTGGCTCGGC